TTCTTACATCCAGAGTGTTGCATCGTAACTGCCTTTTATGTATTTTTTTTTGCTCCTCATCAATAATAAAGTCAATATGAAAAGCCACAAAATCACTGATAATATTAATACTTGTAGGTGTAATTAATACTAATTGCCTTTCACATCATTTCTGTTTCCTAGACACTAGGAAAACAAATTATGGTCAAAACTACCAATTTATGATAAACTTCAACGTATTTCTGGTTTTATGGGAACGCCAAAACGCTCAGTAATCTTTATTGAAGCGCTATGTTAATGATTTTGATAAAATTAAGAATATGGTTTTATAATATGTGATAAAATTTGAAAAATGGGGATTTGGTAATGTGTAGCAATTTTACCGTGATACCTCAGCGCATTTATTCAGTTAAACTTACTTTTCAGTTTTGTATTTTTTGCTCAATGTGTGGTAATAAGATCAATAATTACAAAAACCAGAATTTCCTGCAAACCGTTACCATATGAACCGAAAAATTACCAAAATACTATGAATCTTGATTTGATTAACCAGAATTATGTTTTTTTAAATCAGAAATGTCATTATCATACAGCACGGTAATTTCACCAAGATTGTTTTCTCCATGTGGAAAGCAAAGATGATTTGATGTTCCCAATTCCGTCCTCCGGCTGATTTTGATCACGTTTGTGTTTTCTTCTTGATTAAATATTTGTCTGGGAAACCTGGTGTTCATAGATTTTGATAAAGATTCTAAAAATATATGTTCGAGATTGTCCCTATGGGACACCCAGTGTGTTAAATAATCTTCTTTTTACGCTTTCATTTAATTTATCCATTGTTTATTTCTTGAAATTAAAAACGCAACACAACCAGTTGACTTCTTAAAATTGTTATTATTTGGTTATTAACATGAGAACAATTATTACTTCAGTCAAAACATTAGTTTCAAGCATGGGATTTACAACTTTATTTTTATTTTGTAACACAAAAAAAGTCGAAAAGTTTAATTCATAAAAAGATTTCAAAAGTTTTTGTCATAAAAAAGCAACTAAAAAAGTGCTTTACAAACACATTGTTGCAAGCATGTTGTTGGAACTAAATAATTTTTTTGTAGTCATAAAAACTGTAACAAAAAAATTTTTTAAAGAAAACGTTACATTGCCTATGGAATATTCGGTAAAGATTTAATTTGAAGATATTTAATTTTTTTTACCATATAACCTTTTATGCCGGTTCTCTTCCTTTGCTATTATAAAACAAGTTCATTTTCAATAAATTAATAGAAATAGATTTTATATTGATATTATTGAATTTAAAGATTATTTAATTATTAGATGGATTTTATTTAGATTTTTAGATTTATATATTATTTAATTATTATATAATAGATTTCTTAAAAAAAATTCTATGAATTAATAGGAATAGATTATATGGAATAATATAAAAAGTAACTATGAAAAATTGTGATTTGATACCAGAGTAACAAATTAATTATAAATGTGAACGAAAGTGCCGAAACTTTTAAACAATTTTAACCAAAAAACATTTAAAATAGTAAATTTATACAAATCTTTTTTAAGCTTTAACTTTAATGATAAAAATTTCTGAATTTCGTGTTCTGAATATTTTTACATACTTTTTTCGAATTATTTTAGAATAAAAATATTTTAAGCACGTCGATTGTTTAGGATTTTAATAAAATAATATAAGGGAAGGAAGATATATTAAAACGCAAATTGAGTTATTAAAAGAGATATGAGCGAATCCATTTGCAGACAAATTATATAATGAAGTAAATACACCCAATTTATTAGAGTTATGTAAGTTCATTTTGATATTCATTCGTAACTGATATTTATTACTCTTTATCCAACATATATCATGATCTGCAGAGCAAAAGATGACACTCTGCAGGTCTCCTTTATTATCAATGTCAGTTGTCCTCTCATCTCTCATTAGAGAAGGCCAGATAAACTGATAAATCACATGATCTAGAAAGGACTGTTGATTTTCACATCTACCATGTATTGCTGTTCCATTAATAATAGTTCCCATTATTGAATTCTTCTACAATAGGGGTGCAAAATTTTAGGAAAAATTGTCAATCTTAGAAGAAAAAAATTTGCATGCCACTTCCAGCTTTGCAACATACAAAAAAAATTTAAAAATAAAACTTTAACTTATAGGATGATTACGGCATGTTTTTTGTAAGTCCGAACAGTAAAAATTAATATATATATATTAATTTATATATATATATATAATTAAA